ACGCGTAATTTGACACTACTTTATTCTAATTCAACAACTGCACTTTGACTACGACAGTAGAGGCAGTGACCAGAAGCTAGCTGCTTGTTTTTTCCCCTCTCAACTAATGCGTAAGATGATTTGACGTTGGCTCCATTTTTATTCAGGTCTGTTTTCATTTTGTATTTTGCTTTATAAAAAGTTAAAGTATAAATAGCTCGTTTGAAATGAACTGTAATGCACTCAGGAAATGCAGCCTAAAGTTTTGAATTTGGAGGAGCGCAGAAGTATGTAAAAAGTCCACAGACTGAAGAAAACTTTCATTAAGAAAGATTTCGTCAAGAAAGTTGGTATTTAGTTTGCTATTTAGTCTCTGCCTTAAGCTTTAGATTTCACTTAATGCATGTGCTTTTTCCCTTTCTGTTAGTAACAGCAAAATTTAGTCTGCAGCCTGAACGTCTGACTGAGGGTCAGAGCTCCTTAACTGTCCGGAACAGAAATAGATACAGCCATCTCTGATGAGTTCAGGTGCCCTGACCTTCAAGGTTTGTATTGGACAGCTAGTAATAAGTAACAATATTCAGGAAAACAGTGATGTTTGATAGATTTAGAATTTTAATATAAATGTCATGATCATTATGAAATCATTTCAAAACCAGTGCATTTAAACTTACAATCTGTTCTCATTTACTAATTTAGTGATTATCATCTTTCATCCATTTTATGGCTTTTGTTCAGCATTCCACTGGCCTTAGTTTCATCGAATTCATTAGATTTCACAGTTATCCTGGAATCAAGAAGGAAAAAAAAGTCCAACAGGATTCATGGATAGAGATGAAGCAAGACAGGTAAACTTTGCGTAAATATATTGACATTCTTAATGAAGTAATATTAAAGTAAAATATGGTAAATATTGATCTTTTTTTTTTTTTTTCAAATCACCTTGGATTGTTTTAGCAGTTGTGTACTCTTTCTTTGGGAGCATCAAAGAAATGATTTCTTGCTCCATGCCATTATGTCGTACTACGAACTACGATGTTACGAACTACTCATGGATTGTGAATCGTGACTCCTTTTCCATAACAAACACACACACATGCACTTGAGTGAAGGACTTT